AGAACTACATCATCTCGTTGTAAATTTGGTTCAGGTCTCATCCACTTACAGCGCGCTTGGAGCGAATTCAAATATTCGTTTTGCCAATGACGCCAGAAATTTTCGAACATCCTTTGCAAGCGTTGCCAATAATGTGGGCGATTGTCAGGAACATCTGGTAGTGGTGGCTCAGGGCGACAATTTAGTGGGCGGCCAATTAGGAAGTCGCCTGGCGTTAGAGCTAGGCCACCTTCTGGATCATCGTATAATGCTCACAGTGGCCGTGAATTAAGGCATGCTTCTAACTTCGTTAGCAGCGTCAGAAGCTCGTTATAGCGCAATAAATGGCGGCCCATAATGCGCAGTAAATGCTTCTTAGCTGAGCGAACAGCAGCCTCCCAGATTCCTCCATGGTGCGGTGCGGACGGAGCAATGAACTTCCATTGCGTTCCTACTTGCCTGGAAATCCTTACGCATTTGCCTTTCGCTCCCCACGAACTGAGTGCCGTTGTCGCTAAAGAGCTTGGCACAAATACCGCGACGACTTACGAAGCGATCGTAGACGTCTATGAAGGACCTGGCACTCAAATCTTCAGCAAGCTCTATATGGACTGCTCGTGAAGCCATGCACAGAAATATAGCTGCGTAAGTTTTTGTGGTTGCCGTTGATCTCTTTCCACCTATGCGTATATGAAACGGACCACAATAATCCAGGCCGCTATTTGCAAATGGTGGCGCCACAAGTACTCGCTCTCGCGGCAACGCTGCCATTTGCTGTTGCTGAAGGATTCGTTGATGTCGCCGACACAAAGTGCAACTCCAAACATATGTCTTCACCTGTGAGCGCGCATGCATCACCCACAACCTTCGCCGCAAGTATTGCAGCATTTGCTGGATACCGCCATGAAGACATCGATGGTGAGCATTAGCGATGAGTAAGATAGTAAAGGCACCCTTAGGGATAATCATTGGGTGTTTTTGCTCGTCGGTAATATCTGCATTTTTGAGGCGTCCACCAACTCGAAGTATACCCTCAGCATCCACGTATGGGTTGAGTGGTAAGAGATGACTTCGACTATCGAGCCTGGAATTGGATACAAGAGCATTAATTTCGCCTCTATATTCCTTACGTTGCACCTGTTTAACAGTCACAAGCAGGGCCCATTCGTATTCTTCGGCTGTCATAACTTTAGCTCTCTGACCCCTGAACGAAGGCAGAAAGCGTCTCATTCGCGCAGTTGTGTTCAGGACACGAGCTAGTGTACTAAACTTTTCAATAAGAGGTATTCGGTAGCCATATGCGGACGTCATGAGCAATTGATGATCAGCACGAGTAGCGACTAATGTACGTAAAGGATGGCACTCCACAGTACGTGCCTGCTGTTGATCCTCAGTAAGTTTTGGGACGGTTGCATCGTCTCCATAGCACAGTTGTCAAGAAGGCGGACCTGTCCACCACAATGGATGATTCTGAGGAGATGTGGGCAGAGATCCCCGACTCGCACAATCAGCCGGATTGAACTCGGAGCGAATGTGGCGCCAACTTCTAACAGCTGTGTTGGCCTGTATAAAGGCACCGCGGTTAGCGACGAATTGCTTTAACGACCATGGTGGCTTGCGAATCCAGTGGAGCGCTATGGTGGAATCACTCCAGAGTATATAAGGTACGTTCTCAAGACGTAACTCAACTGGTAGTAGCCATGGCTACGAAGTCTGACCGGAGACTTAATTCTGGTACCACGGGGAGCAGTTTTGCCCACGGAGTTTACTCCAATCTGCTCGTTGCGGATGGCCCTTCGGGGAGTTTCGTGGTGGCTGTGGTTTAAACCCAAATGCGGGGAGAGTCGTGTTGACTCGATGTGGAGTTGCATTGCAACCGGGTGCCGGACCCATAGCACGGCAGAGGTTTAGATAGGCCTCGAACCCTAACAAGGTGGTTAGTGTGTCCATTCCGCACTGCCAATTGGTACCGAGATGCTTGCATTTCGGGGCGCTGATCATCGCATTGAATTGATCCGTTGAGCTTTAGGGGCTCCGTGGAGCTTGGACTGCATACTGCGGAAGGTACTCACGTAAAACCTAAACTACATCTGTGGTGGCTGTATTTGCAAGCACTGTACGCTATGCGCTGGTGTTCGTTCATCCCCCGTTTTTAATGTGAGCAGGCTTATAGCCACAAAATCAACTTCGTTTGCCAGTCTCTGATTTGGAACGTAGCCAAATAGTTTCTTAGGAAATCATTATTTTTACTGACATTTCAAAGCATTTTCTGGTGCGGGCAACTGGTCTAATAGCTTCCCTCCTTTGTGAAGAGGCATACAAATGATACAGAAGGGTGGTCAAGGTAACGCAACTGTAGTTGATTTCGCCAGATAGACGGAAAATATTTATTTTTAAAACGTCAAATCTAATAAGTGGGGGGAAAGTGACTCCCCTTTTCTAAAACATAGTTTAGTCACGCACTGCTCGAAGATATTCTTTTCATAGCCAAAAATTTCTTTAATGTGAGTACCAAAGGTGATATGGCATCGATGGGAATTGTTATCCTACTATTTTTCTTTATATAGAAATACATATTCACTATTTAGATACATCTATTTACTTTTAGGTAAAGTTTTCCGTAAATTAGGTACAATTTTATAATTCAATTTTCCATCCCTGATGGAATATCAGCTGTAACACAGAACCAGAAACAAACAGCTGATTGCTCTTTGTTCAATAAACATACCTCCAAGTCAAAATTAAACATACCTAGCAGGGTTGCATAGTGAATCTGACACAAATGGATTGCCAATTAATTATTAACAAACAATACATTGGCTTAACATAAATACCAGGCCTAACAAGCAAAACACTGAGAAGAACAATAAAAAAAAATTAACATAATATATGCGCATAAACCACACAAGACTCTAAACCAAATATTTACTAAAACAAAGGACAAGATCGAAAAAGAGCAGCAACACAATGTAGTATATGAAATAATGTGCACTGGTAATAACAATGAATGCTATGTAGGCACAACGAAACGAGCGTTTGGTATAAGAATAAACGAATATAGGATGGACGCAAAAAACAAAAAGATGACAACTGCGCTGGCTCAACACTTGGCAAACAACGAACACAAAGCGGACTTCGACAGCACGCGAGTATTGGACATCGAAAGAGGAGAATGACAATGGAAAGCCTGCAAATACAACAGAAACTTGACAATCTAATAAATTTCAAAGAAGATGTGGACAACACAAACAACGCCTACACAGCTGTACTAAAATCTAGATATAAACAAAACAAAAAGAAAGTAATGTAACCTCGTTGCGCTAAAACCATGTAATTATTGTTGTTTAATGTGGATAATTGTAAAGTGTGAGTTTCAAATTCTGATGTGTATGTTATAATAATTGTCAACCATGTTTATTGTTTATTGTTTATCGTTAAAATAAAGCAGGCTCCCTGAGGAAGACGCGAAATGCGTTGAAACGCGTAGGAGTAAAAAAGGAAACATTTATTTTCGCTTTAATTCCAACGGCCGAAGTAGCGCATACCCAGCACACAAAATTGCAAGTAATTTTGCACATAAACTACAATTAGAAAGACTAGTAAATCCATTGAATTTTTTTTTTTGGTTAATAAAGATTATACGTAGCTAAGCTTTACATCAGAAGTCATGTTTGTATTACTTAAATATATAAACAGATAAATTACAAACTTATGGCGTTTTCTTTTCTATTAAACAATTTTGCCTTCTTATAAATATTGGATCATTTTCAGTAGGTTACTTTTTGTCGCGCTAAATGGCTATATTAGCTGAAAGTATGGCACTTTTGCTTAGTCGGAGGGCAATATTTTGAGAAATGAACACGCAAAGCTGTGAAAGCAGAAGGTAGTTTAATTTATTGACATTCGTTGTTGTTTCCGACCACTTCACTTTCAACAAGTTTATGACATTTAACTAAAATCATGCCACCAGATTCACTAGCAGAAAAATTTTTGTTTCTTAAAAAGTAGAAAAAAAACTTGAAGTTAGTGAAGTTGGACGAAAATCAGGGACGTGGACCGGTTTTGAACCGAACCGGTTTTGAACCGAACCGGGTTTGAACCGGAAAACCGCTTTTTTCTATTAATTAACTGAACCAATAACCGAACCGAAATTTTTCACAAATGTTTGATCAGAACCGAAAACCGAACCACTTTCTTTAAAGGTTTAAAGGTTCGTTTCAACCAAGTTTCAATAGATAAATGTACCCACTTTTTTCTTTTTGTTAAACATGGTAATACCTACCATGTTTTTTTTACCATGTGACAATATCAAATGTAAAGGCATCCCATCTCACTTCACCCTAAACCTTGCGCGTTGTTGAACTTGACACTGGACACTTAAATTTGCGCGTTATTTTTTTGTTTTTCGAACCGTTGAACCGAACCGAAACCCCGGTTCAAAGACCAAAAAAACCGCTTTGACGAACCAATCCAAAAGTGCAACAACGGTTCGAACCGCTGAACCGAACCGACCAAATTTTTCATCCGGTTCACGTCCCTGATGAAAATATTAAAAGTGTTGCGCGTTTCCAAACTGCCAGAATTCGGTACACCTGAGCAAACGTTCGAATATAAAGTTTTTTGCTTTTCCGAGGTAGGGTACGTAGTTTGATAACAAATTGCTGACGCAAAATATCTTTAAACCTCTGAAAGATGACCATTATCCGTGGAACAGGAAAGAGGTCGAGTTAAAATGATGCCTGCAACTTGTAACAGTACCAATTTTTGGATGCTCGGAATTTTCTGATAAAGATGTGGTGCTGCTAAAAATATATATACAGAAATATAAGCACGAAACTATGTATTTGTCACAAGAATTATCCACATAAGATGAAAACTACTGCAGTTTCATTTTATAAAATTTAAAAATTATGTTTGCACCATGTATTGTCTTCCCAGAGAGTTTTGCTCCACATCGAAATTCGTGCCCTTTTATTTTCTAAGTATAGCGAATAAAACTTCACACTTAAATTTAAGACATTCATAATAAAAATTTTATGAAGAAAATCACCGCTACGTTCTCCCAAATATAAACTGGGACGCAAAAGTGAAGCAAGTTTTGCCTATTTTTCTTTAGTTTATTTAATATTTATTATTTTTTATGAATATGTAGCTCATTACATAACAAACCACATATACTACAAACAGATTTCATCCTTGATGTAAAAATTATGAAAATTCTGCAAAATTTCAGCAAAACTTTTAACTTTTTAATTTGCTAAAATGACGCGTCCCAGTTTATGTGTATTTGGGTCACTCACTTAAAACAAAAAACATTGAAATCGGCTCACTATCTGATTGTTTTTCAATTTTATATAACACAGTCCGACATGAAACTTTTCTCAAAGATAAGACTAGCCATTTCTAATAGATTTTGGAGCACTAAATTTGTAAAAATATAAACTTTTATATTTGAATTTTAATAAAATAAGGCGAAGAGCAAAATCGGCTAAAAACTTCTAATTTTTTTTGCAAAACGGCTAACAAATCGGCTGCCGGCTAAATCGAATTTTTTCCGGCTGTTTGCTGTCGCAACCGGCTAAATCTAGCCGGATAACGGCTAAAATGGCAACGCTGGTTGTGTGCAGCCATGAAGTTTCAGTTCAATCTCTCTATAAAGGAAAAAGTGAGGCTGAATTTGACTTTTTTTGCAACTTTAACTACTAATTACTTAAAAACTATGAGCCTCCGGAGGGGCCGCCTTCAGATTTAATATCAGGGGGACTCCTCTACCCTCTACACCCTTTTTTTCAAAGACTGGTCCATCATTGGAAATTTTTCCCACTGTAACTGAGTTTTCAAGTGTACACTGAAATTCTGTACACTGATAAAATTGTGTACACTTTCTCATTTTGCGATTCAGTAAGTATGAGAATGAGTTTTAACTGTCAAAGTTGTGTACACTTCTCTTCCGAAAAACTCACTGAGTTTTATTCGGAGAGTTTTTGGTTGTAAGTTTTGAACTCGGTGTACACTACACTTTCTCACAGTTACAAAATCCAGCCATTGCTATCATCTTATCATGATTCAATAATAGCTCTGATCCAATACTTCTCGTGCAAAATCCTGTAAAAATGGCAAACAACAAAATTACTCTCTGAAGTGAGAGTAAAAAGTGAGTAACAACAAAATGTACCGGAACAAAA